GTGAACACCATGACTACCCCATGGGGCCCAAATTTGCACTATCCCCCAGAGCACATATACTCTGAGAAGGTCGTCGAGGCGATAACGTCTCGCTACGAAGATAACGTCTGCGGAGTTGTCGGTGCGTTCATCAGATTTCCCATCCGTTTTCGATTTTAATCCGTACCATACCCCCAGGGGCATCTATTTGGGACACCCTCCTGTTCTCCTACACGACCAAGGTCGTCATGCTCGGCAACGTCTCCGAAAGCCTGGACATTGGCGACCTGCCCATCGTCCCCGCCGACATGCGCGCCGTGAACCTCTTCGCACGCATGCGCGCCACCCTCCGCGCGGTGAAGCTGCGCATCGGCAAGTGGACGCCTAAGCCGGGCTCGGGGTGGGAGCTGGGCTACCGCCTGCTCCGCGTTAACGCGGGGCCTCTGGCGCTGCAGATCTCCCTGGCGGCGATATCCGCGTGTCTGTTCTACGCGCCGGCGTATTTCCTCAGGAAGCTCGTGAATTACCTAGAGGTGGACCCGGAACGCCAGCAAAGGGGATGGGGTTTCGCGTATTGCGCTGGGCTGTTCTTTGTGAACGCCATCACTTATCTAAGTACGTTTTCTGGAATCAGGGGGCGCGTTGTCGTATACTAAGATTTTCGCGCAGTTACGGGGCAATTGTGGTCTATATCAACTACCACGCTGCAAGTGCGCATCCGCGTCCAGCTGAACTCCATCCTGTTCGCGAAGACGCTCGTGCGGAAGGACGTCGTCTCCTCTTCGGGCTCCGTGCCCGGCGAAGAGGACGATAACAAGAAGAAGGCCGATCCACCTCAGGATGGCGAGCAGGCGGATAATAAGAAAGACGAAGACGAGGCTGAATTTTCGAGCAAGGCGCAGGTTATGACTCTCATGACAACCGACGTCGATCGCGTGAGCGAGTTTGCGTGGCATCTGTTCACTCTCATAGGTAACGCGTGATTCCCACGTTCAAGGGAGACAGCGCTGACTGACTTTGTGACTAGATTCGCCCATCGAGATTGTCATTGGAACAATGTTCCTATATAGTCTTCTCGGTATCGACGATCTCTCAGAAAGCTCTCCTCATTAGCTAACTGGTACCCTTCCTAGGCGTGTCCTGTTTCATCGGTCTCGCTGTGACCTGCTTGTTCCTCCCCATGAACCATTTCGCGGGGAAGGTAGTTGTGCACGCTCAAGATAACCTCATGAAGACTCGGGATGAGCGTGTAGCGCTGATGAACGAGGTATGTGAATTATTGCTTGTGGTCTGTTATACCTTGATATAACCTCTATCCACAGATTTTGGGTGCCATCCGCATGTTAAAGGTATTTAGACTTTCCCCATGATTACTGACAAACAACTGTCAATTTTGCAGTTCATGGCTTGGGAGCGAAGCTTCGAAGAACGGGTGATGAAAATTCGAGCAAAGGAACTGAAATATCAGAAATTGAACTACACCATAGAGGTAAGGCAACATCATCCTGATCTCACCTCAGGGTACTTATCCACTATTACTAGACGCTCTTCAACGCTATCTGGTAAAAAGTAAAGTTACTATCCATGACCTGGGGTCCCTGATAGCACTGGATTAGGAATGGATCACCTATATTGGTAACGCTAGTGTCGTTCTGGCACTTCGCTGTTATACGGCAGCAGACTCTGACGCCTTCCATTGCGTTCACGTCGGTGCGTACACTCTTAGTCAGCGATAGAGCCTTTCTCACCGAGCCATAGATCACTAGTAAGGTTCCAACCATGGAGATTGAACCCTGTGACCAAACTGTTATACAGTCTTTTCGGAGATGAAGTTCGCGCTGAACGCCTTGCCTGAGACATTAATCAACATGCTTCAGGTAATCCTGGCCACCGTAGCATTCATCTTCCAGATACTGACGCGTTATACCCGCTTACACAGAGTGCCGTGTCCCTGCGCCGCATCGAAAAGTATCTCAATGGGGCCGAGGTGACGCCCGTCCCTCCTCTCGAAAGCGAGAACTACGCCATTGCATTGCAGTCGGCTACGGTTACTTGGCCTCAGGACCGCTCCCGTTCGTCAAGTCGTCCGGTGTCTGTGGCGTCTACCCCGAAGCATAAGTTTGTCCTCACGGATCTGAGCATGAACTTCCCAGTTGGCGAGCTGTCCCTCATTTGTGGCAAGTTGGGATCGGGAAAGACACTACTACTGCTTGGTCAGTGACGTCCGCATAGTTTATTGCCGATTCCTGATTCGCCTGGGCTCAGCATTGCTCGGCGAGGCGGATATCCTGGCCGGTCAGCTGAAGAGTCCTCGATCGCGACCTGATGCTATCGCATCCTTCACGGGGTTCGTGCCGAAGGAGGACGAGTGGGCAATTCCAGGCGTCTGTGCGTATGTCCCACAGTCTGCATGGCTCAGGAACGCATCCATCAAGGAGAACATCCTTTTCAATCTTCCTTACGTGGAGCAACGCTACAAGAAGACTCTGGAAGTCTGCGCGCTGGTAAGCGATCTGAAGATCCTCGAAGACGGTGACGAGGCCGAAATTGGAGAGCGCGGCGTAAACTTGTCTGGCGGTCAGAAAGCGAGAGTATCGCTCGCACGCGCTGTCTATTCGCGTGCTTCCATCCTCCTCTTGGATGACGTACTCTCGGCCGTCGATGCGCATACGGCCCACCACCTCTATCATGAATGTCTCACCGGTGAGCTGATGCGAGGTAGGACTGTGATCCTGGTGTCGCACCATGTGCAGTTGTGCGCCCCCCGTGCGAGCTTTATCGTCGCATTGGATAACGGGCGGGTCCAGTACCAAGGGGGTTACGAGGACTTCGGGACTTCAGGAGTGCTAAGCACTCTTGTACAGTCCAATACTGCAGATCCCTCGGACGATAAAGAAGAAGCAGCGGTTGCTACCGTCGAAGAAGAGATAGAAGAGGTAGAGATACAAGCTCAGTCTGGATCCCAAACAGAATTCAACTCTGAAACGAGTTCCACGGCTGCTACAAATGCCGATTCAGAGGTGAAAGCCGAGAAGAAGAAGTCTCCGCGTAAACTCGTAGAGGAAGAAAAGAGGGCCGTAGGTAAGGGGATGACGAACACGTATCCTCGGCGCATCGTAATTCAACAACGTTCCAGGTCGGATTGGCAAAGACATATGGGCCACGTACGTGAAGGCATGCGGTGATCATTGGTACTGGATCCTGTTCGCTCTGTCTCTCCTTCTGGCCACTCTCAGTCCGGTCTTCGAGAATGGCTGGCTAAAGTACGCATTGTATACTCTCACTTTGTTCTTGCGTGCTCACCTACGCTCCCAGGGTCTGGTCTGGTACAGCTTACAGCGGAGACGCCCGTAGTCCGGTCTTCTACATCAGCGTATACGCTGCAGTGAGTGTCGACTATTCGTCCTTCCTTCACAAATACTAAATTAAGCAATAGATAACAGCGGCTGGTAAGCACATCATATCGTTGACAGTTTTTACCCTGACGCCTCTATCGCAGGACTCGTGTTGACAACTGTCAGATGGTTTGTATTGTGTACGTAGCCCCGCTCTCTCTTTCTCTTCAACAGCCAGCCGACGTTCGAACGTACGTTTGTCTAGATCATGGCTCTATCCATGCATCTACCGTACTATATAAGAGTAAGGGCGAAACGGGTAGGCACTCTTGACCGCAGTCTGATTTTTTCCTTAGGACTGCTGGAGGCTGTTCTCTTCGCTCATATCCGGTTCCACGACACTGTGTCCCGCGGTCGCTTACTCAATAGATTTGGGAAAGATTTCGAAGGCACAGTTACATATGGGTGGAATTTTGCAACCAAATTGACGTTGACTTTCTGCAGGTATTGACAGCAGCCTGTCAGACAACTTTGGGCGTAGCATAATGTATGGCTTGAATGTCCTGACTACACTGATCACCATCAGTGTGGTAGGCGGCTTGCCCTTCCTCATCAGCGCCATTATTTTGGGATTCATATATTTCAATGGTGTGTCTGATCGTGACGTTAACCTGCTTTCGGCACTGATCCACTTTCCAGTTGCCAAGGTGGGCATTGTGACGGGCAGAGCCTGTATTACTATGTCAACTGATTTGTTGTGAAAGGTCTATGGCCAAACATCTCGAGACATGCGTCGATTGGGTGGGTCCATCTCTTCTCGCCCCTCGCGGATTCCAACAGACTGGTTGTGCAGATTCCGTGACGCGGTCTCCGCTTTACTCCATCTACGGTGAGACAATATCGGGCGTGACCATTATCCGAGCTTTCGGAGCCTCTTCCAAGTTCCTCCGAGACATGCTGCGTTGCGTTGACACAGTAAGCTCTTGTAGTGTGTACCGGGCCTTCGCTATAACTAATATTTTAAAATGAGAATACGAATCCATACTACTGGATGTGGGGAGGTAGAGTCACTGCCATCGGTTGATCTCAACGAATAGCTGATATCCAGCGTGTTAGTGAATCGTTGGTTGTCTGCTCGATACAATCTGCTCTCCAGCGCCGTAGTCGGCATCACGGGCTTAGTTGCGATCTTCACTCCTCGCATTGACGCATCTTTGGCGGGCTTCGCCTTAGCGTTCGCATCAACAGTTACAAACGACGTACGTTCACATATCAGATAGATTAACCAGTGACTTACAAAAAGGACATCTAGCTCCTATTCTTGGTAAATTCCTCACTGATTCATGTCTTCTATAAGACCCTCTGACCTTCCGGGCTTAGGTAAGGCGGTTCGTCGGGTTGGAACAATCCATGGTAAGTTGTTAGACTTCCTTTTCGCAAATCTTTCATGTCTGGACCGTCATCGTCATCGCAGGTTGCACTAGAAAGGGTCAAAGAGTACTCTGAATTACCACGTGAGCCGCCGGAATACCTTGAGCCTTGGCCCCCACCATCTTGGCCGTCTGCTGGTGAAATCAAGGCTGAAAACTTGGTAATCCGTTATGCTGTGAGCCCCCACACATTGCTTGAATGGCGCAGCCATTGCTAATCGTCTTGCAGCCCGAATTACCAAATGTCTTGCACAATCTAAACTTCGAGATAAGACCCGGGGAAAAGGTGACTAAGGAAACTAATATACACTGGGCAGGACTCATTATGTCCGCATCAGGTCGGAATCCTGGGCCGGACTGGCTCGGGTAAGAGTACCCTGGCATTATCATTCTTCCGTTTCGTGGAAGCCACAGAGGGGCGAATCCTCATCGACGACCTTGATATTTCTCAGATTGGATTAAGCGACCTACGCAGTAGATTAACGATCATTCCTCGTGAGTGCAAGAGGATTTCATTGCGCGGCGTTTCTCAACTTTTCCCAGAGGATCCTACGATCTTGAGTGGAACGGTCAGATCAACGCTTGACGTATTCGGGGAGTATGACGATGCACAAATTGTAGGTCGGCATCTGCTTGTCCTTCGGTGGTATTTAAGTCGTTCCAGTACGAGGCGTTGCGTCGCGTGCATCTCATTCCATCCGACGATAGCCCAGAAGCTGTCGAGACCGAGAACGCGAACGTTTTCCGTGACCTGGATTCTTCAGTCTCTGAGGGTGGAGAGAACTTCTCTACCGGGTATGTACTAATCTTCATCTTATCCCCTTACCATATCAAACTGCTGCGATTCTAGCGAAAAACAGCTTTTATGCATGGCGCGGGCGATCCTCAAGCGGACCAAAGTACTTGTTATGGATGAGGTATGATTGTATCTCCGGGTACATGCCAGGTGAGAGTGCTAACTGGTTCATTATAGGCCACCGCTAGGTTAGTGATGTCTGTGGATACCCTTCGAGTTATCTCATTATTGCTGGCAGTGTCGACTATGCCACGGATGAGCTCATCAGCAAGACAATACGGCAGTAAGACCAATATCCACAACCTCCTTCTAACATGCTCATGTGTCATCCAGCGAATTTGCCGATAGCACTATCCTTACGATTGCACACAGGCTTCGGACTGTCATTGATTACGACAGAGTAAGTGGAGTGCAAGACTTACCGCATTCACCGCTGAGATGAAATCACGCAGGTAATGTTGCTGGAAGAGGGTCACATTATGGAATTCGACACTCCGTCCACCCTGCTATCTAACCCATCCTCCAAATTCTATGGCCTTTGCAAGGCAACCGGAAGGAACGAGTTTGCAATGCTCAAAAAGCTTGCTGGCGTGTAACCCGTACTCTTGCCCGGAAAATGTATCACAGATTACCGAATAGACGAGAGTTTACAGGGCATCGCACTAGGACCTTGCATATCGAGCATCTTCCACTTGCAATTAAATAATAAATACCTAATATTAGACCTCCAGATCCCGGGATACACAGAATAAATGCCTAGAACTACGATACTGACGGCGACAGGGAGAGTAAGGAATGGTGCAGATAGCCAGAAATGGTGTTGTTATTCAAGGATTCCACATCCTGCTCTTGACGAAGTCGCGGAGCTGGGCATCGTCCATTCTGCGAAGATCACGATTTTGATCGACACCCTGGAAGTCCACATATACTCAGTCACAACTATAACAGAAACGAAGGCTAAAACATACCGCTTTCTGAGCTGCCCGGATAACCGCGCAGGCAATCTGGTTACTGATTTCCCTGATACGCTCAACGCGGGGGTAGATCATGTCCAATTCGCGTTCCTCAGGCGTAAGAGAATCTGCGAGTCCCAGAGATGAAGCTTCGACCATAGTATCCGTAACCTTGGATGCTTTTGAGAGAATGGCGCCTAAGCCCAAACCTATGATCGAGCCTAGTCAGCACCGGGAGGACCATAGAAACGAGCAGAAGAACAAGATCCGCGGGCCACGTTTCGATATCAAAGGTACTCACCAGGAAAGATGTACATGTTATTGCCCTGCCCTGGGTACAGCTTCCGACCCTCATACTCCTGAATAGGGAAGGGCGACCCAGAAGCAAAGATGACTTTCCCTTGCGTCCACGTTACCGCTTCGTGGAATTCACACTCTGACAGACGCACGGGATTGGACAGGGGGAAAATAATCGGTCGGGGATTTAGCCTCGCCATAGCTTCCACCACTTCCTGATTGAAGGCTCCCTGTGATCACGATCATAATCTCAGCACAAGTGCCACTGTCGAGGATACTGTGTTAAACCAGCAAACCTTGATCGTGGAAAGTCCGAGTAGCGCCGTCGGCTTCACGTGCTCGATGATTTCGACGAGATTGGTCAGGGGAGGTCCGGCATAATCCCGGCGAGAGAAATCTGTGATCAGGGGGAGTACGACATCGAATTGAATACGCAAGAAGGAGGATAAAGATCACGGGTGGCAACGCACATTTCTTGTGCTCAGCCATCGGTCCGCGCGTGTCGAAGATCAGGCCCTGGGAGTCGACGAGGGAGATCCGGCTCCGCGCCTCTTCCTCGGACAGGCCCTGCAGCTTGAAGAAGCTCATGAGTTGCATGGCGACACCTACGCCCGCAGAGCCGGCGCCCAAGAACAGGATACGATGGGACGATAACGGCTGCCCAGACGCGGCAGATGAGAGCTTCGCGGCATTGAGAAAGCCTGACAGGACGACTGCACCCGTGCCTTGAATGTCGTCGTTGAAGACGGGGTATCTGTGGCGGAAGCGCTCCAAATATGAGAAGGCGTGGTCGGTGGAGAAATCCTAGAAGACCATAAGGGATTCAAGTCAGTCCGACGATTCCAGAGAGTAAGGGACGGGGGCTGACCTCGAATTGAATGAGGAGTTTGGGGAAGATTCGGTGCATCTCATGCATGAATTCATCCATGAACTCGTTCATCTCCTCATCGGAGACACGTTTCTGACGCAGACCCAGATAGAGAGGGTCATCCAGGAATGCCTGATTGTTTGTGCCCAGATCCAGCACGATGGGAAGGGTGGAGGATGGTCGAATACTACGACATGCCGATTAGTGAAAGCTGCACATATTTGTGCCGGAAGTCTTACCCGGCGCCAGCGACATATAAAGAGAGTTTTCCGATAGCAATTGGCATGCCATTGATACCAAGGTCACCAAGACCCAAGATGCGAGAGCCTGAAGTAGACGACTGTGAAGCGACCGTATCAAGCAACACAATTCGCACTGACCGTCCGTAACCACAGATATACGAGCATCGTCAATAAGTGGCCAGTTGCGGATAATTTGTCCAAGGTGACCCTTGTCTTTGTAGGATAGATACTGGTGACGGACATTAGTCCAAGAACACTACATCTGGTGCGAATGAAGTCCACACACCAGACCCTCTGGCTTCCGGTATATGTGGGAATACTGAATACAGGCATCTCCAACGGTAGGTGTATAGATTAGGGGTGTTATTTCCTTGAAAGCGGCCGATCGCGAATCAAAATTCAGAAGCTCTCAAGGGTGACGTCAATCACGTACAGACAAGTTGTTCAACCAAATCCTGTAGAACATATGGTGGTCGTGATTCTTCAGCTGGTTAAGGTAGATGTACTTTTCAAGAGCCTTGTCCTTCGAACGAAGCTGGGCCAGAGATCTCTTGTAGTGTGTTTCATCATCAAGGACGGGAGGAGCAAGACCCTTTGGTGGCTTAGAAGGGGCTACAGTGCCAAGCGAGCGATGGAAGTGCATAACGCCGAGAGAAAAGGAAGTGCTCACGCTGCAACATCGCCTTTAGCTTCTGGACACCATTGGACCAGTAGGGCGTTAGAACGATAGTCATCTCGGTTCAGCTGTTTCTTCGACGGTGTCCAGCAGCTCTTGCGATGTTCTTGGGGCTCTACCAGCGATCCCGGGTATGCTCTAAATAGGCCTCTAAGCGGTAAGGTAAGCGGGTGGGTTCAGGTAAGGGTATGGTGAGTCAACGTGAGACGTTGCTAAAAGTAATGTAGAATCGGGCACCCTCGGAAATTGACTTCTACCTATCCGATATATATAGAGGCTATGTCCTGCGGTCTCTAGCCCGTTACAGGTCCTGATGGAAAGGCTCTGCAGTCTCCGGTTGTGTCAATGCGCCATTGGATGGCCGACGACTGTCGGACCTGCGGTTGCATGGAGACCCGTCGAAAATCCGTGGTGGATCAACGCGCAGGCACTAAAGTCGGAGTTCGCCTTGCTGTTGTCAGCACCACTACCAAGTTCGTAAGGCCGTAGGCCGTAGGAACGGAACGGGATTGCAACGGTTAGTCGGACGCCCGTCGTGATCACTGAATGTTTCCCTCCATACCATTCGACCATGATTGTCGTACATAGCTACAGGCCTGGGATTGGCGATCCGAAAGCGTGGCAGCGTGACCGCGGCACGCGCGGCGGGTGTGGATTATCGTGGCTGCAACGCGTTTATACAGTATATCACTCTCAAGGTGAGTAGCGTATTTGCCTCTTATACAAGGCGTTCGTATCCGACCGCAGACATTCACGAGGCAACCACGCTCGTAGTGGACTCTCAACGCGGGTTCAAGCGGGAACTGGGAACTCTAACTCTGCTCGCGTCTTCGAACGGCCTGCCTGGATCAGTGCTAAGGAGGATGCCCATTCGTCTCAGTTCAATCCTGACGGAGATTGGGGAACTGACTGCGACCACCGGCAAGACCCACCAGACCAGTCCACGCTGAGAATGGGGTGTGGTTGGATGCACGACCGACTTGTTGGGGTACAATAGTACTCGTAGTGACCTCAACTGGCGTCGCTATCCAAGAGACACAGTGGGTCGACGAAAAATTTGGCCATCTTCCCTATCTGGAATTCTTTGGCTTTCGCGTCCATAGATGAGTACGTTCCGATCCCGAATGGTCCATCCGCTGCTTGTAGTGGCATTCTAAGGGGAACCTCCGATGTCCCTGGCGGCTCACAACATCATATTACTGGATAACCTCGGCGACCAAGCGCCATCCCTTGCGACCTGTGAAGGCGTCTAGAGTGGCAGCTTGTTCGCCCGTGTTCGCGAGGTGGGCGCGACCCTGCGGCCGTCCAGATCGACGCGAGGCCTGCGTCTAATCTGTGAACATGGTCGGAGATGTTAGCCTAGACTGAATGGGCTGTGTGTGCGGAGAGTAAGGCCAGTGTGAAGAGAACTCATCTATCCCTCCCGGTTGTAAGTTCTAATGTCTTGAGCTCTGTAAACTCAGATGCTTACGCGTCGCAACCGTATTACACGAGTCCCCCTAATGAGTGGTCAGATAACATTGGCTTCTCCTCATTTTCGTCGAGGCTGCTCCGGCTTCCAGACGTCGGGCCCATTACAGCGAGTCTATTCTTCCTCTCCCGTCTGCTGTATCTCCTTGGCCGCCGATCCATTTCCCTGTCACCTGCATCTCACTCGGGATTCCTTGCTTCTCCCATTCAATATATGGAGTACGCCCTTCTCCACGATGTCACGACCCTTCATGACGTCGTCTACAACATTCGAGGAATGTCCATGAAATGTCCGCGTGGAAAAATCACATGTGAGCACTTCCCCTGACCTGAAAGTTAAAGCATCGTCTATATGCAGGCGGGAACCGTCCTGTATATAGCGCCAGTTCGCACCTCCATGGCTGCGCTAGGAACACCACCGGCCTGCTTCCCTTCGGATGATTATGACGTGAGTTCTGGTTGATAGGTCGATCTAGTCATCGATGTCGCCTTGATAGCTGCAGCGATGAAGATTACAGCTATGATAAGTCTGCTTGCGCCCACAGCTCTGGTGCACAATTCTCTTCTTGCCTTTCCCCACTGATACCCCATGGGACGAGTTAAACGCCGTCCGCTTCGGTTAGCGCGATGATTTCTCATCACGCACTCGTAGCTAGAGTCTCTAACAGGTCAGCCCGTCTATCAGGTTGGTAGAGTAATTTCCTCATCTGTATCCTCCGACCACCGGTCGTACCTGCCACTTCGCCATATTGCGTTCTGAGCGAGCACTACAAATTATCCCTTCGGTCCGTTCTGCACGCCTCGGTAGGAAGCCCACCTGACCTGTGAGGTCAACGCCTCTCAGGTACGGTGGGAGATTCTTCCGCGTCTGAACGCAGCGACCACTCCCAACCCACATTCGACCCCAATGCCCAATCGCGTCGAGCGCGCATCCGGGCCGGTGCCTCCCCCTCCCTTCGTTTGTGGCGCGAATGGCGTCGCAATCTGAGATAAATAGAGGAGTGCGGGGATGCGCTTGCATAATGCGGGTTTGCAGTGGAAGATCGATCTCAGGGCCGTACATACGCCGGGTAATTACAAGACGGCACCGAGGGCCGATGTTGCTACTCCGGTATGTTTTATGAGTGGTTTCTTCAAATTTCGGACGCGCCAGTCCGACTGTCTTTCAGATTCCACGGTTCGAGGGAGAGATGAGACCCATTTCGTACGACTAATAACTGGAAAGCTGTTATGTTCCGGAGGGAAGAGTGCAAAGTGATGGTACACGGTACGATATATACCTGACGGCCTAGGCCCTCTCTCTTGCCCCGGAACGTGCAGTGAGGGTGTGACCGCCGGCAGATCTTCCGAAACGGCCTTTCATCTACGCCAAAAGCACCAAATATGCCGGGCGCGTGGAATCTGAGATGCACATAGATACCGCGAGAGATTGCGTTGACGCATGCTTGGATGGAATTGGCCGCTACACTATACATAACCGCCCCTACATACACCTGACACGGGCCGTCCACCCTTTCCTTTTCCGCGCGAGGTATACGTGGCCCGTCAGAACACCCGCGATAGGCGCTGAGACTGACTGCTGCCGTACCGATTCTGCTTTAGCGGCCCATCCATCCCTGTCAGACGATAAGATATTCGGTCAGAATACAACGTCCATCATGCAGCATATCAGATATAGAACACAGCATGCCGGAGGGGGGTGCAGGCCCCGAAATGAAATCACGAACAATAGCTCAAAAGAAAAGAAGCACTTCGCGCCGAAAATTGAAGGTAGAATGGAGAGCGAGACAAAAGCGCGGGCGGGATGACACTCACCCCGTCGACGAGCATGAGCTCCCCGCACACGTACTGGCTGGCCGCGCTCGCGAGGAAGACGGTAGGACCCGCGAAATCCTTGGGGTCGCCCCAGCGTCCGGCCGGGATGCGTTCCGAGATCTGTCGCATGCGGACCGCGTCGTGACGGAGACCTTCGTTCCTGGATGAATTGAGAAGGAGCCGTGCGTTAGAGTGTACACAGGAAGACGAGGGGGTGTTGTGGAAGAAGATAAGAGAAGGGCGGGCGATAAGGCGACGGGCCGTGCTCCCCGAGTGATAGTTTAATGTTATGAATTTGTAGTGGCGCACGGAAGGGAGTTGGAGGAACATATGTTTGGCGACGACGAGAGGTGGCGCAAATCAAGATGCGGGAAGTACGTACATGTCAGTCGCGATGTACCCAGGACAGATCGCGTTGACTTGCACGTTATGCTGGCTCCACTCGTTTGACAGTGCTTTGGTGAGCTGGCCCAGGGCGCCCTTGGCAGCTGCGTACGCGGGCACGTTCAAACCGCCTTGGAATGTCATGAGGGATGCTATATTGATTATCTTGCCACGGCGTTTCGATACCATGTGCCGGCCAGCAGCTTGTGAAAGCAGCCACACGGATTTCAGGTTGACATTGATAACCTAAAATATTCAATTTCGGGGCCGGTGCGCAGACCGTATGAGAAGGGTCAGCGAGCGAGCGAGGTAACTTTAAACATGTCTTAAAGTGGGATAGAGGAAAATACGAGGAGATCAGCGGTGATAGGCGTCTCACGTACATCGTCCCAGTCCTTCTCTGGAAAATCAACACTCGGTGATCGCCGTTGTATTCCAGCGCAGTTGACGAGGATGTGGATTTCGCCACCCATGGCCTCCAACGCCTGAGGCACGATAGTCTTTACCGATTCCATGTCAGCCAGGTCGGCGTATACAGTCTTCACTGTAACGCCCAGAGCCGATATGGTGTTGGCCGTCTCCATGTTTGGAGATTGGCCTTCTTGTGGGGGGCGCTGCACGAGGCATACTGAAGCCCCCGCCTCCGCCAACGCTATGGCACAAGCGGCACCAATGCCTGCGAGGATTCGGTGGCGGATCCGAGGGTGGTGCAATTGAAAGGCCAACCACGTTCCGAAGGTCGTGAAAGGACAATTTGTGTGTCATCGGCATTTGAACAGTTATTAAGAGATGAAGGCCTAGAATCGATTTGCGGGTAATTTACGTACCCCTCGTTGCGCCTGTTATGAGAGCATTCTGGCCTGTAAGAGAGAAGAGTTTGAGCGAGGGCAGCGACGGAGTGGGATCCATTGGAACAGACTGACGAGAGGAGTATTCGTGTGTCTATGCATTATATGTGGGACCTACCGGGACGAGATTGACGGTGCCGGGTGAACTGAATCCATCCGGGCCTGGAAGCCAGGATCTGGCGAATGGACGTAAAGCGAGAGGAGTTCGGGAGTCGTGCCGCGCATCCGGAAGATGTTTGCAAAGGTCAGTCGACCTTGGCCGACCGCTCCTTTCGATGATGGCAGCCCGAGCGGCACGTTTTGGCGGTCAGAACACAAAAGCGCTGCCGCCCGATATGGAAGTAGCTGCCTAATCGGGGAAAAATACGATCACGGCTGTAGCCGTCAGGCGAGTCGATCGACAAGGTTCTGCAGCCGGAGGCTCGGACCGGCGCGAGCTCCCCTGTCCCCCCGAACTTCGTCGAGAACACATCCTCACGAGACTCCAACTGGCGTCCCTTTAAAAGCCTCCACGACATGCCGCCTCGAGTCCACCAACCACCCGCTCCTCCTCGCCATGTCTCCCGTCGCCTTTCCCACACAAAACGCTGTTGTCCTATACGGACCCAAAGACCTTCGCCTCGAGGAGCGTCCGCAATGGCCCCCACGACAAGGGGAAGCTCAGGTAGCCGTTGTGGCGACTGGACTGTGCGGCAGTGACTGTGCGTCTTTGTTTTTTATTTTTCATTCAAGCTCTGCTGATGCTTGTCTTAGTACACTACTACTTGCACGGACGTAACGGCGACTTTGCCGTTCAAGCACCCATGGTCCTCGGTCACGAAGCAGCCGGCGTCATAACAGCTGTTGGACCAGGTGTACGACACCTCGTCCCAGGGCAGCGAGTAGCTATCGAGGCCGGCATCATGTGCAACCGCTGCAAGTACTGCACCGAGGGGCGGTACAATCTCTGCAAGGGCCTCCGCTTCTGCAGCAGCGCAAAAACCTTTCCCCATCTGGACGGTACGCTTCAGAACTGCATGAACCACCCGGCGCACGTCCTTCATCCGTGAGTTCAATTGCTTGATACCGTCAGACCGCCCTTAACGCTTTCCCCGAAGACTGCCCGACAATGTTTCCTTCGAGCAGGGCGCGCTTGCCGAGCCGCTCTCTGTCATTCTCCACGCCTCGCGACGGTCCGAGCTCAAGGCTGGGCAAACCATCCTCGTCTATGGGGCTGGCACTATCGGCCTCCTCGCGTGCGCCGTAGCCAAGTCAATGGGGGCTTCGCGTATTTGCGTGGTCGACATTAACAAAGACCGGTTGGATTTTGCCGTAGCCAATGGCTTCGCCCAGTCGACGCACCAGCTCCCCATGGGTGCCAGGGCAAAGAGCACAGAGGAGCAGCTCGCCAAGTCCCGCGAGACTGCCCAGACGACGCTGTCGAATCTCAACATGCAAGACGGCTTCGACATCGTCTTCGAGTGCACAGGCGTTGAGCCGTGCATCCAGATGTCCATCCATGTATGTCGCGCCTCTCTCTCTCGAAGTCTGGTCTGTATCTTACCGTGACCCTCAGAGCGCCATCACTGGCGGTAAAGTCATGCTGATCGGTATGGGCTCGCGCAACCCCACGGTCCCCCTCTCCGCCGCCGCGACGCGCGAAGTCGACATCCTCGGCTCCTTCCGCTACGCCCACACGTACCCGCAGGCGATCGCCATGCTCGCCTCGGGCAAGCTCAAAAACATCGAGAAGCTCATCACGCACCGCTTCTCGCTGGAGGACTCAGCCAAGGCATTCGACCTCGTCGCGCGCGGCTCGGACGCCGCGGGCAACATGGTCCTGAAGGTCATGGTCGGCGGCAACAAGCATTGATAGCTGCCCGCATAATTTATTCTCCTTTCTCTTGGTGGCTAGTGTACTATACTAGAAAAGGACTCGTGCTGCTACGAGATGTACTTACTACGTGCTCATCGCCGCTCGGCGTTTTCTCCCCTTCGGCTCACACCCTCCCAGGTCATTTGTACTTCTACGCAATCGCTCGCTATTCCCCCTTTCTATCTCTACGACGTCCGCGGTTCGCGCCATTCGCTCGCGCTGTTATTCCTATCTCCGGATCCCTTTGTACTATACCCTGACATGACGAACGAGTCCTTCCCGCGCTTGCTTCATTCCGTTCTCTATCGCGTTGGGGTATGCAGAGCTGGCTATGGAATGAAGATTTCAAATATGTACCCCCTACATATCAAACATACCCTTATCCTCATTTGGCCGTTCGACACTACGGCGGTCCGCGCCGAATCTCCGGTACCTTGAGGAGGTCGAGGTTGGCTGAAACTACCAGCGGTAAGACGTCGGCAGGACCGACACGATTTTCCAGCGGAAGACCGGGAGATTCTTTAGCAAAGGGCATTAGCTTGGGTGCTGTAGCAGCTGACATGCCGGAGGGGTCTACGACAAGGCAGTTATCGAGCTCACTGATGGCTTTCTCACATTCACCTTAACTGCACGGTCTGCATCCAGGCAGGACAAGGACTCGGTGTAGCCTGGGCACGTGCTGACGGTAGCCCTCGAATGATGTGCGCTGGACTCGGTGCGCAAAAGGCAATACGCAACCAGAATCCGGCACTTGTCTTCCGCGGATCTGCGGCCTGCCACAATCAAAGAATGTGAGGGCGTCCAGATGGACGCCGGCCCGCCGCAGCGGTCAAAGATCGACGAAAGAAGGGTGCACAGGAGTTCATTGCTGGCCACGCGCACGAAAATGGCGGACAGAAAGTGCCATGATATGCACCCGTATACGTACGTAGATTCTTCGGCTCAGGCAACGTGTTACCCGGTCTCAACAGAAGGAACGTGATGACGCAGACGGACACTCGTCTCTGCGGGCTCGTGAAGTAAGCCGTATCACACAGTGAACATCGAGTGATCTGCGCCATCCAAATTGACCCGACTCTAGACTTTCATGACAGCACTTCGGCGACCACGGCCTCCCAAATCGCGACGGGATTGTTGACTCTGTCATAGGCGATATGTTAGCATATACGTGCTACCTTCTTGTTGCATCATACGACACTCACGTAGCGTTCGTCAAGAGAAGATTATAGTCAGCGGGATGGTATTGCCATTCTAGTGATCTCAAATGAGCGGGACAGAAGACGCTAGGAAACGACCATGAGGAGTACCTTCGGGTTGCTCAGTATCCCAAATACCATACCCCAGCCGCCACGTAATTCCCTGGACACTATTCGTCAAGCTACATGCAAAGATAACGGCATAAGTATTGGCACTGCAAGTGAGACGTTCGATGGCGAATGCCCGGGATGACAGCGGTGAACTCGTGGGATGGTCTAGTCCTGAGCCAACATGCATACCGGTCCGATGATACGGGCGTGAATGGAACACGTACAAGTCCGGAGGAGCCAATGAATGGTTCTTCAAGCCGGCCGTCTGAAGTACCATGAGCATTCATTCACGAAGCAGAAACAGAGATCCAGCCGCTGACCTTGATTTCCGTATCGATGTGGAAGAATCCGGTGCTCTGCCCACCGACAGTTCCACAGTATTGCTGCGGAACCGTCTTCTTTCCACCAACTACAACAGTCTTTGCACCATCTTCTTTCGCCATCGTGATCTTTATACTGATTCTCAGCCCAACCGGGTCTGTGAAATTCATGAAAACTACGCACGCTGAACAGGGAGCAAGAGCTCCCGCATCTGTAGTGGTTTCCCCCGTTAACTACGGCGTTTACAGCAACCATGAACTGGTGTGTACCTGCCGTTGCTGACTATCGCCACTTTCCTCGGATCGAACAGAGGGTCCGCTGGAGGCCTCATGTCGAACGGCTGACATTCTTGGCCTAGCCTAAGATGCACGACCATTTTCAATGACAAACGACTGGTATAGCTCCGGTTATCTACTTACCGCTGGCTGAAAGCGTCCTCCCGCCCGTTAATGACAGTCTTCACGGGAGATGCCATCCAATCATATCCTTCCGGCATGGGAGTATGATTAGCAAACGTCCATTGAGTAGGGTCATAGCTTGACGTGTAGTTGGAGTCAGCTCCGGAGATAACTTGCTTAACGATAAGCCGTGCGAGAGGTCCTGCTCGAGTTGTCGTATCTAATCCCGCTTGAGGGACAGTACTGGCCCTTGGACCAGATATCTAGGCCTAGACTAAGTCGTCAGAGACTATAAGCCGTTATTAGTGGCCTACAATGCGGTGCAACCACTGCGTAGCCAAGTCAGGGCAGCATTCAAAGCTAAATCAGAAGGTTGCGTACATGGGCAATGCAGATGTAACCTGGGCATGAGGCGGTAACTTAGGTACGTTGCACGGTAAATTGAGGTACATCTACTCACCTCCACCGTTGTTAGTCTAGGTAAAATCCTTGATTATGAGAGGATATTAAGCAGCACTTTCACGACTTACCACATCAACCACGAGTTGAGTTGCGCCCGAATTCTTCAGGGAAGTCAAGCCTACTAGCAATGACTTCTGTAGCTCAGCAAAAGACTCGGAAGAAAAACTGCCTAATGCCAAAACGCCTGTAATATCGTCGTCAAGCATATAGAACTGTGCTACACCCTGGCTGCCGTTCAAAGGTTTCTTGCTGGGCTGAAGCATAGCGGGTAGATCCATGTCACCAGTCGGCCGGGCGTCCATGTAGACATTCATCCTATGTTGCCATGCTTCCCGGAACGAAATTCGGGGCTGCTGCTCAAGCTTGGAGACGGAAGCATATATGTCGGCTAGCTCAGTTTCGGACGAGGAGCGTAAGTCTACGCCATTGGTGCCAATTGTAGCCCGACAGTTATTGTCCCAGAACGAGGCCGAGTCAGCGAAGTCGACAGAGAGGTCGCCAAATCGGGAGCGGTATGGGAGCTTTGGGAGCAGAGGCCAGATCATCTCGGGATGAGCTGGCGCTGCGAGGAAGAGAGCCCACGTACGGTGATAGTGCGTACTTCGCTGCTATTCACCGGAATGATGGTCAGGTTGCGAGAGTCGTATAGAGGAAGCGTCTGCTGCGCGAAATTCCCCATAACATAATACCACCCATTGCTAGTTAATGAGTAGCTGGAAAAGAAGCTGAAACATCAGAGAGACGATTCTTCATCAGCATGGATTAAACATTAAGGATGCGTGAATATAGGAGGTACCTATTTTGCCGTGTGCCGTAGGCAGTATATCCACCAGTGATAGCAGCGTTAGCCTCGACAGCAACCCATGGGTCTTCACCGTCGATGAGAAGAACCTTTGCTCCAGATAGCTAGTACCATGCCTTCAAAATTTGAGCGACAATCTCAAGATAGCAACGCCTACTTGATCTAAGGAAAGGTTTTCAGGAAGGGCATCTTCCCAGTATCCAATCTGGTCCTGGAATTCTGCAGATATGACAGAGAAGGCCTCCGGCGCTATGTGCACATTCTGAACTCCGTTGCTATCGGCTAATAGGACGAGAGGCGTCGGAAGGTATGACACAAAGAGGGCTGTCGTGACAGACCAGTCATGATCAGATTTTATGACAAGACCGCGGGATCTGAGAATTTCCATTACCGTCATAGCAATAGTTGATATACACGCAATGCCCGTCATTGAGTCGCTTTAACGTACGAGACAGGTCGATATGCAAGTCGAAGTCGGACGTGTATGGTTGTTTGCTTATTCTTGCAAGGTCACCAACGACATCCTCATGAACCTCCGAAGAGAAAGGTTCCGGTGCTCTGATCTGATAGTTCGTCGAAGTGTGAAATGCAAGCGTCTTATTGATGACTTCGATTATCTATCGCGATTGTTAGTCCACAGGACGTATGCTAGGCACTTTCAATTGCCTGGAGCGATGGATGTAATCTGGTAGCCAATGAACTCACGTTCGCCTTCAGCTTTGGGTCGACTGGAAACGATTGGAAGCAGCTCCTGACCGCTGATGGATACGCCCATCTCTTTCCTCCGATACTAGAGCATGGATCTTCACTGACGAATACCTGCTGTACGCCCCGCGATGAAGCAGTAGAAAGCTCTGCTCCCGCTAGCAGCAATCCGAGCACAAACGAGCCCTTAAGCTTTCTCCACCTCATTGCTGCTACGTGAGGACACTATAGTCAAACGACAGGCGTGACGGGAGTTGGTTGCCTGTCGATCGCCGGCGTAACAGTCTGGAAGCGTAATTATAAGGAACAACATCACCCGATTCGACGGTCAGCGGGATACCACTCGGGTACATCTTTAGAGGCCGAAACAGTGAGGTTATTGCTACCACATATTGTATCTCAAAATGTGACTGGGCAAGACAGGATTTGCCACGTTATGCTCACCTGGCATATATGTTACTACTACCGAAGGCAGTAAAGACTCTAATGAGTGATGTCCATGGAACGGTGATTTTGTGAGAGCACAGAGTCCCTGTCTATATTTGGTACAATGTAATATCCTGATAATTATCACAATTACCCTGGCAGTGCATTGGAAAGGTGGCTGTCGTGCATCAACGCACGATATTCCACAAGACTGGCATACGAGCTAGGGGGACCAATGATATGCGACGAGGGTCAGACGCATGGAGACTTTGCAAAGACAACATCTGAGCCGGAGAATGCTAGACGTCTTCAAGCGGAGCGGGCACTAGCACAGAAGTTCGTTAACCTACGCCACCATAATATGTAGCAGTGACGGTCCCAAATTATGCATCCAGACGCAAGACGTGAGTCCGCTGGCGAGCACTCTCTAGACACTAATGACATCGTGAGATTTCCGCTGTCCTCAGAGAAAGTTGAGGGTAAGAGACACCAGCACAAAGTTGTAGTAGTTATAACAGCGCTAGTGTCTGTATCCTCAATCGAGTGCGTGGTAGGTGCAACAGTTCTCCAGATGCCAGAGTACACGAGATCCATGGCCAAGTTGAACTATGGATAACCAGCTTTCAGCCTGCGGACTAGATTAGTTGAGGTTGATGAACAAGATAATGGTCGAAATTACTTTAGAGCCCGTCAGCAGCCGCTCTGAAGGTCGACGACTGAGTGAGCGCAGCGGCTTGCATGATAGTGGCGGTTGCGAGGGATACTAGGAATTTGTGTGTGTCTCGGCAGGAAAGTCCAATGAGAGTACAACCGACGCCATAGCTGGACTTGAGATCACCACTCCTGTACTTCGCACGTACCACAGTACTAGTAACTGTTGCCGACGCATCGGTGGAGCTGGCACCGCAGAGGACAAGAATGTGGGTAATCTTGAGTCTTTCTAGCATGTAGCCTCTAGACCGCCTGTGATGAACTGCTGGCCTTCGAAATCGACAAGCAGCTGGAAGTCGGTCAGTCGAGAATATCCTGGATTCCCTGGTCCGGGCCTCCCGATCGCCAGAAAGACGGCTCGGACAACCCAAGAAGCGCAAGACACAGCTCTTGTTGCGACTCCCTCCCCTCCTAACCGATTCCACAGTTCCCCTCGTGGCACAAAAGGATCCACCGCACTCCTTTCCGTCCCACGTGTAACAGGTCCACAGTACTCGTCTGAAGACAGGCGAAGAACATTATAGTCATGGCATAAAATGGCGTTGAGTATTACGGGCAGGCTCCGCCTGTATAAGATGAGGAGGCACCATCCAACTCCATCTACAGTCATGTCATCCCCCATCTTCCGCGAGTGATAAACTTACAGAGCTTCGAGAACAAGAATAGCCTCGCACCAGTCGTGTCAGTCAAGATGCCTGCCAACAAGTGCAAGGTGCACTTACGCAGTGGGGAGTTCCGGGTCAGTAAGTCAACTTTTTCCGTCAATGACATCACCGCTTCCGGTATACGTAGGGACCTACCCTCGCGCATATAACAGTGCTACCACAGTGACTATCATATCGTTGATAGTCCTGTGATTGCGGTCTTAACCCCAGAGTTTGATTCCTACGTCAGGCACTGTAGACCAAGTCCGCGCACAAGCAAGCGTAAGTACGTCCAGGGTCCAGATCCCGAAGAATTTCACTAGAATGAAGCTTCATCAGGCCAGGTAAGTGTAGTAGGGCCCAAGAAATAAAGCGAGATATCGACCGAAATAGTGCAAGACGACTCACGAGATGTATGGAACTGGCCAAAATCCGCAGTCTCGACGGTCGCATACAGGAAATGAGGCGCATTAGGACGTCAGGTAACCCAGTCCCTCACCACAGCACAGGCATCGATCTGACTGACAGGACCGGAAGCTACGCCCCATTATTCCTCTAAAGCAAGTAAGTCCCGGAGGCCTCCCGCATGTGAGTAGAGTATATAGGAAGGTACATAGAATATACGTCGACTGATCGTCAGGCTTGCAGTTGATTCCGAACGTTCAACGGATGGTGTAACATAGAGGGAAGTTCGCGAACAACGTGGCTTCGCAGTTGTAGTCTCCATAGTGGCAGTGCCAGACGAGCTCTAGCGAAGCCGAGAGAGGCCGGCAGTAGCGTCCAGCCGAGCGGCAGTGCTCGAGCAGTTTTCTCGTCGTTCGACTTCCTGACCTCGACGACGACGTTCACCGACGACGAAGCGTTCCTACAGTAGACGCAGGCATATTACCTCGATTTAATCTCTACGCAGTGCTCGAGCAGTTTTCTCGTCGTTCGACTTCCTGACCTCGACGACGACGTTCACCGACGACGAAGCGTTCCTACAGTAGACGCAGGCATATTACCTCGATTTAATCTCTACGCTATTCTACAGCCTTATTCTACACTAAAACCCCTTCTATTCCACATCACCAACTTATCCATTCATTTCCCCGTTCATCATGCATTCTCACCTCGGCCTCACTTTCGGCAACCGCAACACGCCTGTCCCCTACCCGCCGGTCCAAACACAGCAAACCGGACCTAACTTTGTAAACCCAAGTAGCTCAGTGCCGTTGGATCAAACGCTTGCCCAACTTCAAGCCAAGATCCGGGCGTTGGAAGCTCAAGTGGGTGCACAGTCCACTGCCCCGCCGGCCCCCCCGCCCGAAAACACCATCAACCCGATGATTGCCAACCCGGCATCCATCCAGCAGGCGCGCATGCTCGCCCTGTCTGCTCGGGACGATGGCAAGAAGCCGGTGGTGCTGCCACCCATCACCCCGGGCCACAAGAGGAGTGCCCTGTCGCTACGTGAGTATCTCCCTCCCCATTCTGTCTGGTCACGAGACCCCCCCCCCGCGCGAACTCGCCGCTACTGGCACCGGGTACATGTCCCAGCGGCACAACACGAACTTCGCCGTGGTCTTCACGCCTCGCGAACTCGCCGTGCTACTGG